ATATATATATATAATCAATAAGATTAATAAATGAATTATTACTTGCGCTGTTAATTGCATTGAGCTCTCAGGATATATATCCACCCTGGAATTATCCATACGGATTAACAGTTAAATTTATCATATATCTATCTATCTATCTATCTATCTATCTATCTATCTATATATATATATATATATATATATATATATATATATATATATATATATATTACCACTTGACAGAAGAAGATAGGGAAAAACAACAGAGCCTCTATTCCAATAAACAGGATTTCTTATGCCTACCTGATTCGATGTTATCTAACCCCTTGAAATGGGGTGGGCGGGAATTGGTTTTAAATTTATAAGTCTCGTTGATACACACACACACACACACACACACACACACACACACACATATATATATATATATATATATATATATATATATATGTATAATGGGCTCTCTCGTCGGTTTCAACGTATGAGGATCTGACAGCTTATTGATTCAATTATGAAAGTTTGTGCGATAATATTAAATGTCATTTAAGACCCGCTAGTGATTTACAAAGGAGGCCACATATGGAGCAAGAGTGAGGATTGGGAGATGTGATCACTGTTAGATTGCCTGACCTTTTAGATCTTGCTCTCGCTCTTGAAGATAATTCAGACAAGCAGATTGAAAATTGCTGAGTCCGCTAAAACACGTTGATCTCCATTCTAACCGTTCCAAAGCTAAGCACTCAAGGATGTTATGTGGTATATTGACTGCTGACAAGTTGCTTTTCAGCTTGTCTTTGTATCTTAGCCATGGGCGTCCTACATTCCTGTAGCCCTGATCTAACTGGCTGTACATTAGAATCTTGGGTATCCTGTCATCAGACATTCTCAAGACATGACCAGTACACCGTAATTGAGACTGTATGATAAAAGTCTCGATTCCTCCAATATTACACATGTTAAACAGGTCTTGGTTAGATGTTCTATCTTGAAGCTTAACTCCACAGATTGCACGCAGAAAGCTTTTATGGAAAACATCCAGCTGGCGTATATGCTACCTGTATGGAGTTCATGACTCTGAGCCATACAAAAGGATGGCAAGTACAACAGCTCTGTACATCCGAATTTTCTTATCCGTTTGGATGAAATTACGGATTACAAAAACTTTCCATATCCAAGCGAATTTGTTTTTTCTCTTGTGTGATTCATTTCAGTATTGATTGTGTGAGATGTATTATTTGTGTGTTATCTGAATTCTAGCTGGATCGTTAAGTCCAAGCCGCCGTGTTTTAGGCATGACTGTCATTCGAGTGGCTGTCTTTCTTCTTTTGCTCTTGCATATAAATACATGCCACAACATAAAATCCTTACATTTGCCTTAATAAACTATCAGAGAGAAACGCGTCGGCTTAGATGAGTTTTAATTTTGCCTAAAGAAAACATAGGGAACAGTAAAGAGTAAAACTGGATCAGTAGGTCACAACATCAAGAAGGATCATCATTGAAACTTAGAGCTAAAGGCATCAATAGGAAAAGATCTAACTCAATCCATAAGGATGTTTGAAACGCTATACTGGTGTTTCAGCTATGACCGCCCAACGAGACGGAAAACAAAACAAACTTGAAATTCAAATCGTAAACCTGTGAGGCCTCTTCTTACTACAGGGCAAAAAGTTAGGTTATAGTGGGCAAAGGTCACCTTGAATTAGTTGGAAAATGTTCCTGGAATATTAATAATAACAATATATATGTATGTATATGTATCTGCATAAATCGATGTTTGCGTTAGTACGCTGACATAAGCGACGAAGTTTCCCCCACCACTTCCCCAATAACACCAATACACGCAAGCTACATAAACCCAAATTTTTAAAAAAAATTAATCAGTTTGTCTGACGATCGCTAAAGCGTGAAACCCAGGGTCACAAACTCACATCTATCCAACCAAATATGTTAGCTCTATCTCTGATATTGAGCGCTTTCTAATAAGTACCGCGCATATAATATATAAATAATTATACATACATATATATATTTATTTATATTTATATACACTTTTCACACACACACACACATACATATATATATATATATATATATATATATATATATATATATATGAAATTTATTTAAATCCGTCATGTGCTTACGCACTTTCCTATGATTACTTTATAATTGAAAATGAAATCGTACGTGATACATGTTAGACACGTTCTTACTCCAGGAGAGTAGGTTCATCAGGGTGAACATGGAAAATGATCTTGAAATAAAACAATATATATATATATATATATATATATATATATATATATATATATATATATATATATATAAACTTCATTCTTTCATGTGCTTCTTATCCTTAGCTATGATTACTTAATGATGAACCTGTAATTTTTTGTTCTTGAGAGATTTCATCACCATTTTTCTGTTAAGACTGGAGAGAAATTATACATTCCTATGGCTCAATGTAGAGTCCAATCAGGTTATAAAACATCGGAGCATTCCAGTTATATATCTTTAATCATTTCTTAGATACAACAGTCTAAAGCTTAATGTGACAAATAGACAACTTTCCTGCTATTATATATGATATATATATATATATATATATATATATATATATATATATATATATATATGTGTGTGTGTGTGTGTGTGTGTGTGTGTGTGTGTGTGTGTGTGTGTGTGTGTGTGTGTGTGTGTGTGTGTGTGTAATAGACAATGGATGTCTATTAGTCTATTATGAACCGTTCAAAGGTTTGAATATTTGCTTCAATTTCTGGTGAAAAAAATTGTCCAATATTTGGATATTTTTTTTATTAAGTTGGCCCTAAGTTTTCGGCTCACATGTACCATCCTCAGAGTGGTTACACAGACATGAAACAAAGATATCCAACGTCAAAACTGATATTTTGACACAGAAGTTTGCTATGCAATGTTAATGGTCGCTGAATATCAGACGCAGATCGTAAGTTCAAAATGCGGTTCTATGACGTCATACCACTCGAGAGGCCGAAATATTAACAACGGAACCATATGTCTAGATGCAATGCAATTTGTTGTGGCTGGTTTAAAATGTAATTTTATTGAATATAGGTTGCTTCATTTTACTCTAGATGGCATCCAATACCTGAGGGTTTTTTTTTTAATGTGTGTATATGTGAGTATTATTGTGTTATCAACTTATATCTGTCTAGTATTTTGTACATAACTATGTTTTTCTACGAAATTCATATCGTTTAATAATATAGGAATTTTGTATCTACTTATTTTTATATTGACCTCTTCTAATTGTTTAATTGATTTCTTAATCTTAAGAGGAAACTTGAATTCAAAGAAAGATGAATTCCTTCATAAAATCAAGAAACTGATTAGACAACTGGAAATTATCAGTATAAAAATAGGTCAATATTATTCAATGAAACATGTTGAACGGAATATCAGTCAGTTATGTGCCATGCGCGATACACGCTTAGGCGATCATGTATCTTTCGATACATGACTGACGAGGCAGATTTCTTTTTCTCGCAGTAGCTTGTTATTTCTTTCTGTGGTTGACCATTCGCCATCCAAGACTATAGAACCTTGTCTGTCATGCTATTTACCCATAGCTGGGAAGGAAGAAGAGGATTCATGCACGTAAGTGAAAATAATGAATTCAAATGGAATTCGAACTCGGCTCTCCGTTCCCTCAAACCGAGTCGCTATCCATTACTCCACCATGCCCCCCGTGACTGAGTATATGCTTCCGAAATACAGCAAGCGATGGATAAATTGTCGTCTAAATGATAGTCTGTTTTTGTTGCATGAAAAATTTCAAAGCAACGACTAACTCGTGTATACGAGACGCGGAAGCGAAAATCGCGTCGCAACTCGTGACGTCACACATGAACACGCGAGAGTGAAAACGAGAAGTATTAAGTATGGGAAGCCGTTGGTATATATGTAAGCCGAAAGCTTAGATTGGATTTAAGCATGTACCAATATGATGATTTCCTTTCGTCCTTCAATGAAAATGTTATTAAGATTATCAGTCAATATGAAAGGGACTTAAAATAAATAGACACAAATTGTCCATATTATTTAATGAAACATGCATCAATATATATATATATATATATATATATATATATATATGTGTGTGTGTGGGTGTGTGGGTGTGGGTGTGTGCGTGTGTGTGTTTGTGTGTGTGCGTGTATGTTTGTGTAAAGGAAAAACTGACATTTTTAAAACAGGAAGAAAGTGTATATGCTTTTTATCATTTCCCTTCAAGGAATCTTATAAAAGGTATTATGATGAAAAGAAATATTCAGAGGCAAAAAAACAGAGAGGGCAATGAAAGAAGGTCACATTGCGTTTAGACATTTAAAGTTCATATTTGACAAGAAAACATGCTGCCAGAAGAGATTTCCAAAAGTGAAAATTTTAACAGAGATAAATGGGACCTAACCAATCTATTGATATATATATATATATATATATATATATATATATATATATATATATATATATATATATATATATATATCCTTTTCTAATAGTTAGTAAGCTAGGTTCTTAATTTACCATAATGCCACGCTGTAGAATAAATGTGAGAGATTTAGTATGCTTGACGTTTGTTCATATGTAACGATTTCGACCCTCTCCGGATTCTTTAGTCCTTAGGCTTTGTACTAAAATAAGACAGGCAAAGCCAAGAAAAACATTCCTTACTTTAGGCATTTCTGCTCAATATTTACTTCCGCTAAGAGCTGTATATCCACAAACAAACAACTCGACTGCAATGCAGCAGCTACAATACAAATATTTTACCCGTTGGGTTTATGGCTTAGTCAACGACCTGTTATCGATACCGTATGTCTCATATAACGTACTTGATTCTTTGCCCGAAGTAGATACAAAGAGAGGTATTATTCTTACATGGGGAATGTATTTCTCTGGGGAAAAGCAGCGGGCAAGCAGCGCTCGCCTCAAAATCGTTGCAGAATATTTGGTAGTTGTTCTTTGTAATAACATTGTTAGTACGATGTTGTTATAAGTGGGATTCTGAAGTTATTAAAGAATTTTAATTTTTGCGCGAGAAAGTTAAGGTGATGAATTCTTCTGTGCAATGATAATAGTGAACAGCTATAGTTATGAAGAATCTGATTTGGTTTACGTAATGAAGAAGTAGAGGTTTGGAGAAGGGAGAAGAAGAAGAAAGAAGAAGAAGAAGAAGAAGAAGAAGAAGAAGAAGAAGAAGAAACGGAAGAAGAAGAAGAAACGGAAGAAGAAGAAGAAGAAGACGAAGAAGAAACGGAAGAAGAAGAAGTAAAGTGAAAATTAAGAGTAGCATATGAAAGAATGGTAAAAGAGATGGGAAAAAAGCAGTGGAAGGAAGAGGAGGGCGAGAGAAATACGTAGAGATAGAAGAGGAACGAGGAGGGGAAACTGAAAAGAAGAATAAGATGAGAACAGAAAGAATCAGTTAGTAGGACCAGGAAGTGAAACAGGGGAATAGAAAGAAGAAGAAGGTTTAGAAGAAGAAGAAGAAGGTTTAGAAGAAGAAGAAGAAGAAGAAGAAGAAGAAGAAGAAGAAGGTTTAGAAGAAGAAGAAGAAGACAGTTTAGAAAGAAGAAGAAGAAGAAGACGGTTTAGAATAATAATAATAAAAATAATAATAACAATATCATTATTATTATTATTATTATTATTGTCTTTGATTTCTGGCGTTTACACATTTCTTTCCGGATCCCGCCCAGGGACCTAAGGTTAGAAATGGCATCATGACACTTTCCACTGACAAAAAAAAAAAAAAAATTAAATTACATAGATAAAGCCCTTCGTAAGGTGGTATTATTATTATTATTATTATTATTATTATTATTATTATTATTATTATTATTATTATGGGGACTTCTGCGTCTTAACATAACTGGTGAAAGTAAATGACTGCTGGGCGACCAATCCGTCTTGCTCCATGGCTAGATGTCCAGAGCAGAAGAAAAATGAAGAAGACTCTAAGAAGAATAATGAGGAAGAAAAAAGTAAGAAAAAATAAAGAAAAACATGAAGACAGAAAATTGACAGCGAAGAAATGAAATATGATGAAGAAGAAATATAAGAAAATAACGAAGAAAAAAAATGAAAAACAGGAAAGAAGAAAAAAGAAACAGATGTCACATGGGAAGAAGAAAATGGAGAAAATGCAATGAAGAAGTAAGAGGAACAAGGAAGAAAAAAGAAAGAAGAAAAATGATGAAAACACTCAGAAGAATGATGAATAAGAAAAACAAATAAAAAAAAGGATGAAGAAAATTCACAGCGTAAAAAGGAAATATGATGCAGAAGAAATATAAGAAAATAACGAAGAAAATTAAAAAAATGAAAACCAGGGAAGAAGAAAAAAAGAAGAAGAAACATAAGGATAACGAAAATGTGAAAAATGCAAGGAAAAAGTAAAAGGAACAAGAAACGCAAGAAAGAAAGAAGACAAATGAAGAAAACTCTTAGAAAAATTAACAGCGAAAAAAGGAAGTATGATGAAGAAAAATAAGAAAATAACTAAGCAAAAAAAAAAAAAAAAACAGGGAAGAAGAAAAAAGAAGTAACATAAGGTAGAAGAAAATGGAGAAAAATGAAAGAAAGATGTAAAAGGTACACGAAACACAAGAAATAAATAGGAAAAAAAAACAAAAGAAAGCAAATGAAGAAAGAAGAAAAAGAGTAAAAAACGAGTAAATAGAAAAATTGAAAGAAAATAAATGAAGGAAGAAGAAGAAATGTTCGACATATAGGAAAAAGGTGCCTGGATAAAGGAAGAAGGCAAATGAAGAAAGGATACCAAGAAACAGAATGAAGAAGAAAAAGAAACAAGAAACAAGAGGGAGACAAAAAATGAAAGAAAAGGACTAAAGAAAATGAGGTAAAAACAAGAAAGAAGAAGAAGAAGAAGAAGAAGAAGAAGAAGAAGAAGAAGAAGTAACTGTAATTATTTACACTATTTACATTGTTCGGACTGTTGTCCTCATCTTTATTGCCATATTCACGACGTTTAGACCGTTGTACGCTCCGGCCTTCTTCTATATCTGTCTATATTTCTGAGATGACGTATTGTAATTATTTACACTATTTACATTGTTCGGACTGTTGTCCTCATCTTTATTGCCATATTCACGACGTTTAGACCGTTGTACGCTCCGGCCTTCTACTATTTATGTCTATATTTCTGAGATGAGGTATTGTAATTATTTACACTATTTACATTGTTCGGACTGTTGGCCTCATCTTCGTTGCCATATTCACGACGTTTAGACCGTTGTACGCTCCGGCCTTCTTCTATATCTGTCTATATTTCTGAGATGAGGTATTGTAATTATTTACACTATTTACATTGTTCGGACTGTTGGCCTCATCTTCGTTGCCATATTCACGACGTTTAGACCGTTGTACGCTCCGGCATTCTTCTATATCTGTCTATATTTCTGAGATGAGGTATTGTAATTATTTACACTATTTACATTGTTCGGGTTGTTGTCCTCATCTTTATTGCCATATTCACGACGTTTAGACCGTTGTACGCTCCGGCCGTCTTCTATATCTGTCTATATTTCTGAGATGAGGTATTGTAATTATTTACAAAATTTTCATTGTTCAGACTGTTGTCCTCATCTTTATTGCCATATTCACGACGTTTAGACTGTTGTACGCTCCGGCCTTCTTCTATATCTGTCTATATTTCTGAGATGAGGTATTGTAATTATTTACACTATTTACATTGTTCGGACTGTTGGCCTCATCTTCGTTGCCATATTCACGACGTTTAGACCGTTGTACGCTCCGGCCTTCTTCTATATCTGTCTATATTTCTGAGATGAGGTATTGTAATTATTTACACTATTTACATTGTTCGGACTGTTGTCCTCATCTTTATTGCCATATTCACGACGTTTAGACCGTTGTACGCTCCGGCCTTCTTCTATATCTGTCTATATTTCTGAGATGAGGTATTGTAATTATTTACACTATTTACATTGTTCGGACTGTTGGCCTCATCTTTTTACCATATTCAAGATGTTTCGACAGTTTTACGCTCCGGCCTTCTTCTATAACTGTCTATATTTCTGAGATGACGTATTTAATTATTTACACTATTTACATTGTTCGGACTGTTGTCCTCATCTTTATTGCCATATTCGACGTTTAGAACGTTGTACGCTCCCGGCCTTCTTCTTATATCTGTCTATATTTCTGAGATGACGTATTGTAATTATTTACACTATTTACATTGTTCGGACTGTTGTCCTCATCTTTATTGCCATATTCACGACGTTTAGACCGTTGTACGCTCCGGCCTTCTTCTATATCTGTCTATATTTCTGAGATGAGTTATTGTAATTATTTACACTATTTACATTGTTCGGACTGTTGTCCTCATCTTTATTGCCATATTCACGACGTTTAGACCGTTGTACGCTCCGGCCTTCTTCTATATCTGTCTATATTTCTGAGATGAGTTATTGTAATTATTTACACTATTTACATTGTTCGGACTGTTGTCCTCATCTTTATTGCCATATTCACGACGTTTAGACCGTTGTACGCTCCGGCCTTCTTCTATATCTGTCTATATTTCTGAGATGACGTATTGTAATTATTTACACTATTTACATTGTTCGGACTGTTGTCCTCATCTTTATTGCCATATTCACGACGTTTAGACCGTTGTACGCTCCGGCCTTCTTCTATATCTGTCTATATTTCTGACATGAGGTATTGTAATTATTTACACTATTTACATTGTTCGGACTGTTGGTCTCATCTTCGTTGCCATATTCACGATGTTGAGACCGTTGTACGCCACGGCCTTCTTCTGTCAATATTTCTGAGATGAGATATTGTAATTATTTACACTATATACATTGTTCGGACTGTTGTCCTCATCTTTATTGCCATATTCACGACGTTTAGACCGTTGTACGCTCCGGCCTTCGTCTATATCTGTATATATTTCTGAGATGAGGTATTGTAATTATTTACACTATTTGCATTGTTCAGACTGTTGTCCTCTGTCTACATTTCTGAGATGAGGTATTGTAATTATTTACACTATGTACATTGTTCAGAGTGTTGTCTTCATCTTCGTTGCCATATTCAAGACATTTAGATCTTTGTACGCCCCAGCCTTCTTTGCCATATTCACAATATTTTGGCTGTTGTACGGTTCAGCCTCTTCAGGTAATATATGTTGGAATTTCAAACTGAACAACAAGGACACATGGCACAGTGGATAAATTGGTTGAATAATCCAAATAGTGATTTGACCCCAATGAGCTTTCTGGTTTTAAATAAACTGCAAAAGAGTGATAAGCCATAAAAAAAAAAAAAAAAAAAAATCAATCATAAAAACCAGGCCTCAAGTGGAATTTGTGTATATGATCTATCACCAAAGACGCTGGAAAATTGACCTGCTCCTCACAAGAATCTAGAAAGTACCTGGCTCCACCTGGCTCCACCCGTCGTACCTAATCTTTATAAGAGTCAGATCAGACTAAAAATATGGATTATTGCTATCATACCTGAGCTGGAGCTGTCAGATCCACACTTTCCTATATTGAAAGTTCAAAAGCCTGGTAGGCAATGAATTAATCTCCACCCTGCAAACCCTTCCCAGATACACCATTGCAAGCCTCTCGCTGCTCTATCACTATTTCTATGATGGGCTACATTCATTGACTCCACTAGCTCAGACATTTACAGTTAAGGCCTATGTACATAGGGGGCAAACTATTGTCATTCATTGCATATTCTATTTGTTAGAAGTTCTATTCAGGCGTCTTATTCGTAAAAGCCACTCCTTAATGGAGAAGATGCCAGAAAGGTTTTTCCCTAATAAATACAAACTTAATATCTTCATATCTGTTTTCATTTCTGAGATTAGGTATTGTAACTATTTACACTATTTACATTGTTTGGACTGTTTTCCTCATGAGTCTGTCTATATTTCTGAGATGAGGTAATATGTACATTATTTACATTATTTGGACTATAGTCCTCATCTTTGTCGCGATATTTATCACGTTTCAGCCGTTGTATGCTCCAGCCTTCTTCAGGTGGTTGGAATGTTGAACTGAACCCTTTATTTCGCTCACTGGGGTAGACTATTCTAGTTCCACATGCCATGTTTGATGGATGTCAGCTATCAGTTATCTCCTGTTAATTTTCCCTCTGAAAGTTCTCCACTGCCTTAACCGGGTATTGAACTCACACTCTTTGGGTCTTGTCACTGGAGCTAACCAATGCCTTTATCCACTGTGCCATGTGTCCTCAAGGTATGTGGAACTAGAACAGTCTACCCCAGTGAGCAAAATAAAGGGTTCAGTTCGACATTGCAACCACCTGAAAAAGGCCAAAGCGTACAACAGCCGAAACGTTGTGATAAATATGGCGACAAAGATGAGGACAATAGTCCGAATAATGTAAAAAATGTTTTCCCCATATTTATTACAATATTCACAACATTTCAGCCATTGTATGCTCCAACCTTGTTCATGTAATATACTATGAAATTTCAAACCAAACTCTTTATTTAGTCTACAAGGGTAGATTGTTCTACTTCCACATGCCAACCAATGCTTTTATCCACTGGGCCATATGTACAAAAGCATTGGTTGAGTAATCCCAAAAAGTGACTTGACTCAAAGAGTTATGAGTTCAGTTCCTGGCCACAGCAGAAGAAACAAAAAATTAGAAAGTTGAGTTACTAAAGGGAATTAACTGAAACTGAGATATCTAAAAAAAAAAAAAAAAAAAGGCAAGGCATGTGGAATTAGAAAAAAGCTACCCCTGTGGACTAAATAAAGTGCTCGGTTGAAAGTTCCAATGTATATCACCTGAAGAAGGTCTGAACATACAATATTTGAAACATTGTGAATATGGCAATAAAGATGAAGACAACAGTCTGAATGATGTAAATAGTGTAAATAGTTACAATACCTCATCTCAGAAGTACAGACAAATCCTGGAGTGTACAATGACTGAAACATTGTGCATATGGCAATAAAGATGTAAAATAATTATCTATTCTTCATAATATGCTCCCCCTTCTTCCATCCTCTCTTATGTTCTTAGAGTGATCTCACTCAGTAACCTTCTACTTTGAGTGGCTCTATGTTCTTGTATCAGGTAAAAAATATTTTTTAAAAATCCTTTTTATAATTGCTTAAGCCACATTGACAATTGTTGTTTATCTTTAAGAAAAAACTCTTTTGATACGTGTCAGTCAGCCATGTGCCATGCATGATACACACTTAGGCGATCATGTATCTTTTGATACATAATTGATGAGGCAGATTTTTTTTCCATGCAGTAGGTTGCCATTTCTTTCTGCAGTAGACCAGTTACCATCCAAGTCTATAGAACTTGGTCTATCCTGCTATTTATCCATAGCTGGGGGGAGAAGAAGAGGATTCATATCTTTCCCAAGGGTATTAGCACATAAGTGAATGTAATGGATTAGACTGGAATTCAAACTTGGTTCTCCAATTCCTCAAGCTCCTACCCATTACTCCAAGGGAGACATAACTCAAAGTGAAACAAATTTTAAAAATACAACTGTGAAATTTTCAACTATTGATCACTTTGATGTGGTGTAATGTTTAGCAAATTGTCTCACTAGAACCATTACAACTGAGTAGTGAGTTCAATCCTCACTGGGTGTTCCCTACTTTCAACCTTGTGCCACACCTAAGCTATGCTTAGCAAATCACTATGAAATTTTCAATTTTGAAAATGCAAAAATGCGACAAACATCATTTAAATAGTCACACAATTTAAAGAGACATAGAATAAACGCAAATCATCACACATGTGAAAGAATTGTATCTTTAGAAAGTAAAAAAAAAAAATTTTGTTTACATAATCTCCAGAATCTATCTTACATGTCTATAAGTCAACCATTCATCCATTCTTAGAATATTCCTACAACATATGGTCTGGTGCCCTTGCTATTTACCTTGAGTTCCTTGATAAGATCCAAATAAGATTCAGCAATAGTATTGGTTCTGGTCTGGTAGCTTGGCTTCAGTCACTTACCCACCTCTGTAAGGTTGCCTCTCTATGCCTTTTCTATAAATACTTTTATGGTAATTAATCTTCACTATGGTACCTAGACTTTTTTAAGTTTAAGTGCAGTCAAAGACTGGCATTGAGATCTCATCAATTTACACTTGAGGTGGTTAGATGTAGGTTAAGTTCTATGCTGACAGTTTCTTTTTTCACACTTTTGAAACTCCCTTCTGGTTCCATGCTTTCCAGCCAACTTTAACCCGCAAAAATTGAAATGCAATGTCAATTGCTATCTACTGTCCTCCTGATTACTTTTCTTTCTTCCCACTCATTATTTATGTTTCTACTCTTGATTCTTGCACACCCTGTAACCCCTTGTGTTTTAGTGGCTTTACTGCGTTGCATGGGATGAACTCTATTTAAAAAAAAAATAAATAAATAATTTTGTCAAAATAGCCTAAAAAAACTAAAATAAAATAAACAAGATGGAATAGAAGGATATTTCACTATTTGGATAAGTTTTTGCATTGTAAAGGGCAGTTTGGAATACCTATTAATAATGGAGTTGCTTCAGATTAAGTCAAATTTTAGTACAGTTGTTTATAAATAAAAGCAAAATAAAGGAACTGTGTCCCAGGTACAATATAACTCCCTGATTATTTGTTTATATTTCTAAGAATGAGGTATTCTATAATTATTTTACAGGTATTGTAATTATTTACATTGTTCGGACTGTTGTCCTCATCTTCGTTGCCATATTCACAACGTTTAGACCGTTGTACGCTCCGGCCTTCTTCTATATCTGTCTATATTTCTGAGATGAGGTATTGTAATTATTTACACTATTTACATTGTTCGGACTATTCTCCTCATCTTCGTTGCCATATTCACAACGTTTAGACCGTTGTACGCTCCAGCCTTCTTCTATATCTGTCTATATTTCTGAGATGAGGTATTGTAATTATTTACACTATTTACATTGTTCGGACTGTTGTCCTCATCTTCGTTGCCATATTCACAACATTTAGACCGTTGTACGCTCCGGCCTTCTTCTATATCTGTCTATATTTCTGAGATGAGGTATTGTAATTATTTACACTATTTACATTGTTCGGACTGTTGTCCTCATCTTCGTTGCCATATTCACAACGTTTAGACCGTTGTACGCTCCGGCCTTCTTCTATATCTGTCTATATTTCTGAGATGAGGTATTGTAATTATTTACACTATTTACATTGTTCGGACTGTTGTCCTCATCTTCGTTGCCATATTCACAACGTTTAGACCGTTGTACGCTCCGGCCTTCTTCTATATCTGTCTATATTTCTGAGATGAGGTATTGTAATTATTTACACTATTTACATTGTTCGGACTGTTGTCCTCATCTTCGTTGCCATATTCACGACGTTTAGACCGTTGTACGCTCCGGCCTTCTTCTATATCTGTCTATATTTCTGAGATGAGGTATTGTAATTATTTACACTATTTACATTGTTCGGACTGTTGTCCTCATCTTTGTTGCCATATTCACGACGTTTAGACCGTTGTACGCTCCGGCCTTCTTCTATATCTGTCTATATTTCTGAGATGAGGTATTGTAATTATTTACACTATTTACATTGTTCGGACTGTTGTCCTCATCTTCGTTGCCATATTCACGACGTTTAGACCGTTGTACGCTCCGGCCTTCTTCTATATCTGTCTATATTTCTGAGATGAGGTATTGTAATTATTTACACTATTTACATTGTTCGGGACTGTTGTCCTCATCTTCGTTGCCATATTCACAACGTTTAGACCGTTGTACGCTCCGGCCTTCTTCTATATCTGTCTATATTTCTGAGATGAGGTATTGTAATTATTTACACTATTTACATTGTTCGGACTGTTGTCCTCATCTTTGTTGCCATATTCACAACGTTTAGACCGTTGTACGCTCCGGCCTTCTTCTATATCTGTCTATATTTCTGAGATGAGGTATTGTAATTATTTACACTATTTACATTGTTCGGACTGTTGTCCTCATCTTTGTTGCCATATTCACAACGTTTAGACCGTTGTACGCTCCGGCCTTCTTCTATATCTGTCTATATTTCTGAGATGAGGTATTGTAATTATTTACACTATTTACATTGTTCGGACTGTTGTCCTCATCTTCGTTGCCATATTCACAACATTTAGACCGTTGTACGCTCCGGCCTTCTTCTATATCTGTCTATATTTCTGAGATGAGGTATTGTAATTATTTACACTATTTACATTGTTCGGACTGTTGTCCTCATCTTTGTTGCCATATTCACGACGTTTAGACCGTTGTACGCTCCGGCCTTCTTCTATATCTGTCTATATTTCTGAGATGAGGTATTGTAATTATTTACACTATATTTACATTGTTGGACTGTTGTCCTCATCTTTGTTGCCATATTCACAACGTTTAGACCGTTGTACGCTCCGGCCTTCTTCTATATCTGTCTATATTTCTGAGATGAGGTATTGTAATTATTTACACTATTTACATTGTTCGGACTGTTGTCCTCATCTTCGTTGCCATATTCACAACGTTTAGACCGTTGTACGCTCCGGCCTTCTTCTATATCTGTCTATATTTCTGAGATGAGGTATTGTAATTATTTACACTATTTACATTGTTCGGACTGTTGTCCTCATCTTCGTTGCCATATTCACAACGTTTAGACCGTTGTACGCTCCAGCCTTCTTCTATATCTGTCTATATTTCTGAGATGAGGTATTGTAATTATTTACACTATTTACATTGTTCGGACTGTTGTCCTCATCTTTGTTGCCATATTCACGACGTTTAGACCGTTGTACGCTCCGGCCTTCTTCTATATCTGTCTATATTTCTGAGATGAGGTATTGTAATTATTTACACTATTTACATTGTTCGGACTGTTGTCCTCATCTTTGTTGCCATATTCACGACGTTTAGACCGTTGTACGCTCCGGCCTTCTTCTATATCTGTCTATATTTCTGAGATGAGGTATTGTAATTATTTACACTATTTACATTGTTCGGACTGTTGTCCTCATCTTCGTTGCCATATTCACAACGTTTAGACCGTTGTACGCTCCGGCCTTCTTCTATATCTGTCTATATTTCTGAGATGAGGTATTGTAATTATTTACACTATTTACATTGTTCGGACTGTTGTCCTCATCTTTGTTGCCATATTCACAACGTTTAGACCGTTGTACGCTCCGGCCTTCTTCTATATCTGTCTATATTTCTGAGATGAGGTATTGTAATTATTTACACTATTTACATTGTTCGGACTGTTGTCCTCATCTTTGTTGCCATATTCACGACGTTTAGACCGTTGTGCCTCCGGCCTTCTTCTATATCTGTCTATATTTCTGAGATGAGGTATTGTAATTATTTACACTATTTACATTGTTGGACTGTTGTCCTCATCTTTGTTGCCATATTCACGACGTTTAGACCGTTTACGCTCCGGCCTTCTTCTATATCTGTCTATATTTCTGAGATGAGGTATTGTAATTATTTACACTATTTACATTGTTCGGACTGTTGTCCTCATCTTTGTTGCCATATTCACAACGTTTAGACCGTTGTACGCTCCGGCCTTCTTCTATATCTGTCTATATTTCTGAGATGAGGTATTGTAATTATTTACACTATTTACATTGTTCGGACTGTTGTCCTCATCTTTGTTGCCATATTCACGACGTTTAGACCGTTGTACGCTCCGGCCTTCTTCTATATCTGTCTATATTTCTGAGATGAGGTATTGTAATTATTTACACTATTTACATTGTTCGGACTGTTGTCCTCATCTTTGTTGCCATATTCACAACGTTTAGACCGTTGTACGCTCCGGCCTTCTTCTATATCTGTCTATATTTCTGAGATGAGGTATTGTAATTATTTACACTATTTACATTGTTCGGACTGTTGTCCTCATCTTTGTTGCCATATTCACAACGTTTAGACCGTTGTACGCTCCGGCCTTCTTCTATATCTGTCTATATTTCTGAGATGAGGTATTGTAATTATTTACACTATTTACATTGTTCGGACTGTTGTCCCTCATCTTTGTTGCCATATTCACGACGTTTAGACCGTTGTACGCTCCGGCCTTCTTCTATATCTGTCTATATTTCTGAGATGAGGTATTGTAATTATTTACACTATTTACATTGTTCGGACTGTTGTCCTCATCTTTGTTGCCATATTCACGACGTTTAGACCGTTGTACGCTCCGGCCTTCTTCTATATCTGTCTATATTTCTGAGATGAGGTATTGTAATTATTTACACTATTTACATTGTTCGGACTGTTGTCCTCATCTTTGTTGCCATATTCACGACGTTTAGACCGTTGTACGCCCGGCCTTCTTCTATATCTGTCTATATTTCTGAGATGAGGTATTGTAATTATTTACACTATTTACATTGTTCGGACTGTTGTCCTCATCTTTGTTGCCATATTCATCTATTTAACGTTTAGACCGTTGTACGCTCCGGCCTTCTTCTATATCTGTCTATATTTCTGAGATGAGGTATTGTAATTATTTACACTATTTACATTGTTCGGACTGTTGTCCTCATCTTTGTTGCCATATTCACGACGTTTAGACCGTTGTACGCTCCGGCCTTCTTCTATATCTGTCTATATTTCTGAGATGAGGTATTGTAATTATTTACACTATTTACATTGTTCGGACTGTTGTCCTCATCTTTGTTGCCATATTCACGACGTTTAGACCGTTGTACGCTCCGGCCTTCTTCTATATCTGTCTATATTTCTGAGATGAGGTATTGTAATTATTTACACTATTTACATTGTTCGGACTGTTGTCCTCATCTTTATTGCCATATTCACGACGTTTAGACCGTTGTACGCTCCGGCCTTCTTCTATATCTGTCTATATTTCTGAGATGAGGTATTGTAATTATTTACACTATTTACATTGTTCGGACTGTTGTCCTCATCTTTGTTGCCATATTCACGACGTTTTAGACCGTTGTACGCCGGCCTTCTTCTATATCTGTCTATATTTCTGAGATGAGGTATTGTAATTATTTACACTATTTACATTGTTCGGACTGTTGTCCTCATCTTTGTTGCCATATTCACGACGTTTAGACCGTTGTACGCTCCGGCCTTCTTCTATATCTGTCTATATTTCTGAGATGAGGTATTGTAATTATTTACACTATTTACATTGTTCGGACTGTTGTCCTCATCTTTGTTGCCATATTCACGACGTTTAGACCGTTGTACGCTCCGGCCTTCTTCTATATCTGTCTATATTTCTGAGATGAGGTATTGTAATTATTTACACTATTTACATTGTTCGGACTGTTGTCCTCATCTTTGTTGCCATATTCACGACGTTTAGACCGTTGTACGCTCCGGCCTTCTTCTATATCTGTCTATATTTCTGAGATGAGGTATTGTAATTATTTACACTATTTACATTGTTCGGACTGTTGTCCTCATCTTTGTTGCCATATTCACAACGTTTAGACCGTTGTACGCTCCGGCCTTCTTCTATATCTGTCTATATTTCTGAGATGAGGTATTGTAATTATTTACACTATTTACATTGTTCGGACTGTTGTCCTCATCTTTGTTGCCATATTCACGACGTTTAGACCGTTGTACGCTCCGGCCTTCTTCTATATCTGTCTATATTTCTGAGATGAGGTATTGTAATTATTTACACTATTTACATTGTTCGGACTGTTGTCCTCATCTTTGTTGCCATATTCACGACGTTTAGACCGTTGTACGCTCCGGCCTTCTTCTATATCTGTCTATATTTCTGAGATGAGGTATTGTAATTATTTACACTATTTACATTGTTCGGACTGTTGTCCTCATCTTTGTTGCCATATTCACGACGTTTAGACCGTTGTACGCTCCGGCCTTCTTCTATATCTGTCTATATTTCTGAGATGAGGTATTGTAATTATTTATTTACACTATTTACATTGTTCGGACTGTTGTCCTCATCTTTGTTGCCATATTCACAACGTTTAGACCGTTGTACGCTCCGGCCTTCTTCTATATCTGTCTATATTTCTGAGATGAGGTATTGTAATTATTTACACTATTTACATTGTTCGGACTGTTGTCCTCATCTTGTTGCCATATTCACAACGTTTAGACCGTTGTACGCTCCGGCCTTCTTCTATATCTGTCTATATTTCTGAGATGAGGTATTGTAATTATTTACACTATTTACATTGTTCGGACTGTTGTCCTCATCTTTGTTGCCATATTCACAACGTTTAGACCGTTGTACGCTCCGGCCTTCTTCTATATCTGTCTATATTTCTGAGATGAGGTATTGTAATTATTTACACTATTTACATTGTTCGGACTGTTGTCCTCATCTTTGTTGCCATA